AGTACCTCTGTGGGGGTGGAGGAACAGTAGGACAGTAGCCATGGGTGAATGGGTGGGGTGCCACCGGAAGGGAGTGAACCGATTGAGGTCTTAGGGGTACACTAAGATTGTCTTGGATGTATGTGCACAAGTTTTGTGATCCAAGAACTAGTTGAATATGTAGTGCACACACTTGTATGTGTGTAAACCAGCACGCTGGTCTCTGGAGGCAAGGATTTTGAAGCTCCCTGACGTACTTTGGGCATGTGCCCAGGAGGGACCAGTCCTTGGAGCCTGACACCAAGCTTGGAAAGGTGGAGGGACAGCACAGGAGAGGAAAACCCAGAATGAGATGGATTGACTCAGTGACTAGAGAAATGAGGCTAGGTCTTTTGGAGACAATGAGATTGGCTCAGGACAGCATAAGGCTCAGAGCTAATGGACATAGGGTCGCTATGAGTGAGTTGCAGATGACTACATAACAACCACAACAACAAGCCAGCAGTAAATGTGAGCATTGAAAAGTGAAGGTGTAAGGGTGTTGAAAGTGTGAGTGGAAGCAAGTGTGTCTCCACGTGGAAAGAGAAAGGATGAAAGAGAAAGCAAGTGGGGGCTTGCTTGGAAGCAGCATGAATGTGCAGTAGGTAGGGAAGGGGGACCACAGCTTGTGAGCAAGTGTAGGCGAAGAGAGTGGAGACTAGTGGTGGAATAGGTTGTTGGAAGGTCAGGGGATATTCACAAGTGTGCATGTGAGCATCCTGAGAGCAGGTGAGGCTGTAAGGAGGGAAGAAATGTGAGTAACAATAGTAGCAATAACGATGAGTGTTCGGGGAAGTTCTGGTGGCTTGGTGGTAAGGAATTGCTTTGCCAATGCAAACATATGTAGTTCAAATCCACCAGTTTCTCCGTGGGAGAAAGATAGGCAATGTCCTCCTGTGTAATTTACAGTCTCTGAAAACCCACTGAGGAGTTAGCTATGTGTGGGTTGCGACTCAACAGTACACAACAACAGATTTTCTAAACATTTACTTGGAGTCTAGTGTTGGCATTCCTTCTCTTATTTAATCCTTCAGCGTCCTGTGAACTGAATTCCGTGACGGTACCCATTTACAAATGAGGTACCCATTGGGAGGAGGGTAGAGAGAATGGTGCAGCAATGAAGGAATGAAAACCCAAAATCCCTGTAAATGTTCATTAAAACTAATAAAATTTAATAATAAAAAAACACAAAACAAATGAGGTACCCATTTACAGATCAGCAGTTAAGTATAATTTAATTTCTGTGTTCCACTGTGCCATGAGGAAATGTGCAAGCAGGATAAGGTGTGAGTGAAGAACATGTGGAGGAGGGATTGGGTGTTTCAGGGTGTGGGGTCCAGAGTATGGTGCAGGCAATAAGCGCAGGCAATAAGCGGAGCCTGAGTGAGGATGCAGAGAACCGCTGCCAATCTGGCGTTCTAGCTCCGAAATGGAAGCCCATGTGTTCAGACAGGTAGTGCCAGGGCCTGCAGCTAAGGTCCTCTTAGTCTTGGTATGGTCACCAACAGGCACCTCTCACCCCTTAGGCTGAGCCACAGGTGAAGTCCTGCCAGACCTCCAGAGAATCTGTGAGGGGCAGTCCTTCATGCAGGTTCCCCAGGACGTTGGGAGGAGGTCCAGCAGTGATTTCAGGCTCTTCGTGACTCTAAATAAGGAGACTTGGTGACATAGTAAGTCACATGATTGGGCTGCTAACCAAAAAGTTAGCAGTTCAAACTCACTGGTCATTAGAAAGATGAGGCCGTTTGCTGCCATGGAGAGTTACAGTCTCAGAAACCGATGAAGGGGGAGCTCTGGTGGCCTAGTGGCAAGAAGCTGCACTGCAATCCCAGAGGCGCATGGTTCGAATCCACCAGATGCTCTGCCGGAAAAGGAGGGACAATCTCCTCCTGTACCAGTCAGATCTGATCTGACGGTACACAGACACACAGACACACACAGACACATAGACACACACAGACACACAGACACACACACACACATACATACACACACACAAATAATAATAAAAAATAAAAAAAGGGGGAAAGGCTGTTATGTTTTTTTTAAAAAAAAAAAAAACCGATGAAAGTCACCGTGAGTTAAAATAGACATAACCACAGTGGATTGGGTTTGGTTTTGGGTGACTCTAAACAGAATCCCCTGGAGAAAGAGAGAGGAGAGGGAGAGGAGGGGAGGGGAGCGGGAGGGATGGGGGGAAGAGAGAGAATGTACGTAGATGGGGAAAGCAACTAGTCCCCTGCCTACTCTTGCCTTCTGGTTATGACTCAGGTAAATCCCAATAGCAGGTATCTGCAAGCTACATCTGTCCTCATCCTGAGGTCCACCCTTACCCTTGGCCCACTCCTGGTGGCATAAACTGGAGGGAAAGAATTTTTATTGAGAGAAGGACTATGTCTTGGGATCTGGATCCAGCCCTTCTCCCAGCTCAGGAAATTTACATCTGCTCTTCCCTGATTGGATTTGGAAATCACAGTCTCCATTTCTCTAGGAATAAGGTATTTGCTAGGTAAGAGGACTGATGTTGATGCTATCTGGACAAGTCACGTCCCAGCTTGGAGCCCCCGTTTCCTCCGTGGCAAAATAGGAATATTGTGAAAAAGCTACAAATGGCGTTGCTGACTGAGCAGCAAGTGATCTAGACAAGTAAGTGGTAGAGATAAGTGTAGGAAATTAGGGGTTGGTAGACATTTAAACTACATTTTAAAGAATGAAAATCCCAGAGGAGTGTTTTGGGGAGGAGAAAGAGTGTTCTAGGTAGAAGGTGGAGTGGTAGCTGGAAGTTTAGCCTAGTGCTCTAAGGAATGAGGTCATGGGTTGTCCAACCTCACAGCCAGCCTCTCCCTTCTGGGGTCACGTGATACCTAGCTGATTAATATCTGCCTTCTCCTCCATCCCTTGCGGTCTGGGCTCAGTCACTGCTCTTTCCATAGCCCTGAACACAGCCCGAAGGATCAAAAAACACCAACCAAAACACACCCACTGCCCTCCAGTTGATTCTGATTCATGGCTATGCGGAGTCAGGTTTCCAAGACTCTAAATCTTAACGGGAGAAGAGTGCAGCATCCTTCCACAGAGAACCTGGGAGTTCCACCTATTGGTTCTTCGTATTAGCTGTCCAGCACTTAACCCACTACATTACCAGTCAGAATTGATTTATGGTTGACCCTCCAGCAGGTTTTCAGAGGCAGTCAGTTTGCAAGGGAGGAATTTGCTTATCCTCCCGTTGAGCAGTTGGATTGAAATCTCCTGACTTTGGGATTGCAGCACAGCTTTTTACCAGAGCTCTTTAGGGTGTTCAGGAAATATCTCTTGCCTGAGGGAGCCACACCCTCTCCAAATACCAAGAGCTTATACAACAGCCCCCTTTCAGGAACCTCTTGTTGTTGTCGAGTGGAAACCGACCCATAGCTGACCCTCCGTCTGGTTTTCAGAGGCAGGTAATCCATGGGCTGAAGACTGCCCTATCCTTTTGCCACAAGGCAGCTGGTGGATTGGCATTGCAGCGCAGCTTCTTGCCACTAGGCCACTAGAGCTTTCAAGGACTCTAAAAGAGTCGTTCCGTCAATTGTGGTCCCAGATACATAGGAACCTATTGTGTACCATGGAGCCTAAACTGACACATAGCTGACTCTCCAGAGGGTTTCTAGAGGTCGTAAATCACATAGGAGATTGCCCATTTTTCTCCCGCAGCAGACAGATTCCAACTGCTTGCCTTTGGGTTCACAGCGAAAGTCTTTGCCACTAAACCACCAGAGCTCCCTAGGAACCTGTTAAGAACGCAGAATCTCAAACTAGATGTACTAAATCAGAAATACTGCTGTTAAGACCCAGCAATCTGTTTCATCAAGCCCCATATTGCCCCTAGAGAACCTATTTCTTTTCAGATGAGGAAGCTAAAATTGTGGCAAAGTCTGACCTAGAACCTAAAATTCTTCATCTGTTCTTTTTCCCCAGCCCAATCCAGGGCACAAAGGAGTGTCTTACTACACACCCCGCCAAATTCCAGGAACGAAGGCAAGGAAACATTGGGTCCAGAAACGAGGGGCGGGGCATTTTTCTGGGGGAGGTTGAAGGCGGGGCCACTCCTCTGAGCCCCGCCCCGTTCTCGTTGCCCCGGGAAACCCCGGGTTGTAACAATAACCCGGTGACGCTCTCTGGGGCGGGATTTTGTCGAGTCCATGGGCGGGGCACCCATGGCTCGGGCCAATGAAAGATTTCGGGCCCCGCCCCCGCCCCACCCCCCACCCGTCTCCAAGCAGGGGGCGGGGTCGGTGCCCGGCGCTCCTCCCCTGCACCATAGGCGGCGCTGTTGCGTGCAGGGGCTGTGTCGAGTCGGCAGAGCTGACAGCTTAGCGCCTCCACCCCCAGCTCGCGGGCTGGGCTCGTGGCAGAGGATTCCTTGGCTGGGGGCTTGCACGCCCCGCCCCTTCCACCAGGCCCGCCCCCTTCTCGTCCCCTCCTTGTCCCCCGCCCATTGGAGGTGCTGCCGGCGCTGAGCGCGGTGGGCGCGGGAGCTGGCGCTGGAGCTGGAGCGGCGGCGGCATTCACCGGGCGGCGGCGGCGCAGGCTCCGGCACAGGCTCCGGCACAGGCTCGGGCTCCGGCATGGTGCAATCCGGCCTCGTCCCGGGAGAGCGGGGCCCGCGCACGGGGCCGGCGCCCGGGGAGTGGCGGCAGCGGCGGTGGCGGTGGTGGCTGCAGGCGCAGGCTGGCGGCAGGTGCTAGAAGCGGGTCTGGGCGAGGTGTGTGCCCTCTGGGCTCCGGGGCCGCCGCCCCCTCACTCCTCGAGTCTTTCTCTGCCTTCGTGCTTCCCAGTGCGTCCAGCCCCCTGCCTCCGCGCCCCGGTCCATGGCTCCCCGCGGTTGAGCCCGCGCCGCCTGGGACCCCTCCTGCGGGCCTCTCGGGGCGCGCAGATCCCGGAGCCGCCCGCCCACCCTCCGCGGAGCCCCCCTCCTCTTCTCGCCGAAGCCCGGCGGGACCATGGCTGCGAAGCTGCGAGCGCATCAGGTGGACGTGGACCCGGACTTCGCACCGCAGAGCCGGCCGCGCTCCTGTACCTGGCCCCTGCCGCAGCCGGACTTGGCTGGCGACGAGGACGGAGCGCTGGGCGCAGGGGTGGCTGAGGGCGCGGAGGACTGCGGGCCAGAGCGCCGGGCGACAGCCCCAGCGATGGCCCCAGCGCCGCCACTGGGCGCCGAGGTCGGACCGCTGCGGAAAGCCAAGAGCTCCCGGCGGAACGCGTGGGGAAACCTGTCCTACGCCGACCTCATCACCAAAGCCATCGAGAGCGCTCCGGACAAGCGGCTCACGCTCTCACAGATCTACGACTGGATGGTCCGTTACGTGCCCTACTTCAAGGATAAAGGCGACAGCAACAGCTCAGCTGGCTGGAAGGTAGGGATGTCCGACTGGGGAGGGGGAGCTGGGGATACCAGTTAGGACTTCCAGGGGGCTGCTATGTGCGCCTGGGCGCGGGGCGGGCCATAGAGAGGACCTCTGGGGCGCCCTCAGGAGTCACTGAATGTGTGTCCCCGGTTTGGGGCAGGCCATCGGGAGGGCCGGCGTGCGATCGGGCGGGGGCGTGCAGGCACCATCTGTTTGCGTGTCCTGGATGCGGGTCGGAGGTCTGCTGGGGTAACAAGGAACTGCCGCTTTGAGGCACCCAGAGGAACTCTGGTTGGGTAACATCCCTATCTCGCCCTTGAGGATCACTGGGGACCCCCTAGTACCATGGCGAGTTTGCTTTGTACTACTCTTGTTTTACCTTCAAGGATAGGGTAACCCTTTTAAAGGCTTCGAATAAGAACTTAGGGCACCACCCCACCTCTCACCCGGCAATCTTCCCCACTGCCTTCCCCAGAGTTGGTCCCAGGATGTGGAGCGCAACCCTGGGCCCACAGTTCTTGTTGCTCCAGGAGTTCACCTTAGGGCATCAGTCTACCTGGGGTGGGGCAACTCTGTCAGGTGACCTGGGAAGCTCTGAGTTCTCCATGGGGCAGCTGTCCCTACTCTCCTTTACCTGGATCAGCTTGAAGGTGGTGGTGATGAAGCTTGAAGACTTGCTGTTCTAAGGGGCAGGGTGCTGTGAACTGGATCTGCCTCTGGCCACCCTAGGCTACTGGGTGTCCTCTATCCTGGCTTTCTGAGCTCAGATGCAATTGGGAGTGGGGGAGGGGCTGGGGAGCCCCTGGGAGGCCTCAATACCAGCACTGGGAAGGGGGGAGCCATCTTGAGAGAGGGCAGGGGCTTGACTAGATTGTGGTCTCCAAACCCAGCTCCTCCTCTGGCCATCTTGGGGAATGGGGATAGTCTGTGCCTTTTGGGGAGAGGAGATTAGGGGGCCATTCCTAGGGGGTAAGCTATTGGAGAAGAGCTTTCTGGGAGTGTTAGGCTCTTTCTGGGGCATGGTGTATTTTTGAGGGATTCATAGTCTGTGTGCCCCTTGGTGGGAGCAGGGTCTGTTCAAAGAGGTGTACTGGTGGGGTGGGATAAAGGTTTGTGCACGAGTGGCTCAAGATGTCCAGTAGCTGCACTGTAGGGACAATGTGTCCTGATGTGGGAGCCCAAGACTGTCAGGTTTCACACTGGCAGCTTCTCTGTTTTCAGTTACTGGCCACTGCGTGGGTGAGGGGCACAAACTGGAGAAACAGCCATAGATCTCCTTCCCTATCCCCTCTCCAGTCTCCTTGGGCTCAACCCCCACCAGAACACATTCCTCCCAAGCATGTCCTGCCCTTGTGCTTTGCTCCCACCTCCCTCCCTGTTCCCCATGGCTTGTCCCACCTCTTCCTGTCCTCAAGGGCATTGGTCTAGACACCTCCTCCAGGAAGCTTTCCTTACCCCTTATTAACTAGCTTGTGGTTTCCCCTTCTCTGGTTCTTTCTCTGCCTGCCCTAGGCCTTAGTAGGTTGTATCCTGTCTCATTTGCCGCCTGGCTCCCACCTCTGGAAGGCAGTGGCAGTGTCACAGCCATCTCTGTGCCAACCACCCAGCTAGCACAAAACTTGGCACCAAGGAACCATCAGCGCATGTCAGGCAAGAGAGTGACCATGAGGGGCTCTACTGTGACTTCAGAGTCAAGTAGTGAGTGGTAGTGTTTTGTGGATGATACCAAAGTTTCTGAGGCAAGGGAGAGGTCTAGGGGTCAGAGTAGATCAGGAGGGCTTCCTGTAGGAGGTGGAGCTCCAACTGGGGCTTGATGGAGAGGACAGGGGAAGATGAACAGGGTATGTGGGGCTGGAACTGTAATTCATTGAGTCTTGGGGCCAAGTCCGGTGTCAGGTCCTTCTCATATCTCCTTTAATGCTGTCATCAGTCTCTGAGGTGGGCTTACTGCCCCTGTGTACAGAGGAGGGCACTGATCCACAGTGTGGTGTAGTGAGGTGCCCAAAGTCACACCTTCAGGAGATGTGAAAGTTGGCCCCAAACCTAGCTGTGTCACCTTCCAGAGCCCAGACTCGCTTCCTTGAGTGTCTGGGTACCCACAAAGCCTTGGGAATAGTAGCCTCTTGTCAGCAAGGGTCTTAGGGAAGAGAGAGGCTTTTGAGCAGGGGCCGTTATATATCCTAGAACATGGCTAGGAATGTGCTTGGAGAGACTTGAGCCCTACAAGTTCATTTCTCGGAGTGGGAGTCTGAGGTTAGAAGGGAAAAGGACTTTTCTGAGGTCATCAGTGAGTAGCAGGCCCTGGATGAGGGCCCAGGGCTCCTGCCTGTCCACTGAATGCAGTTGCCACTGCACCATGCTGCTGGGGACACTGGTTCTTCTCCCTGTGCCTGGGCTCTGGAACTGAAAAGCTCTGGGCTGGGGCACTGGAGAGGGAGGTTCACACTTGGGCTCCTGACCTAGGTCCTGACAGAGACCATCCATGTATTGGAGGAGCTCTTCAGAGAGGCCTCTGCTCTGTCCTGCCCCCTCAGTGGCTATTCTCATCCTTATCCAGGCTCCTTGGGAAACCCCTTTCCTTTCATTCTCAAGGCTGCCTGTGTCCTATTTCCAGGCAACCCCTCCCGGGGCCTAGTAGAAGGATCACTCCTAATCAGCTTCAGGTTGGGGGCTGCGGTATACCTCAAGTGTCAGAGCTGGGATCCATTATTCCTTTCTATCTATGCTTCCCTAATAAATGCCACACTTGAATCCTTGAGGTGTGCCAAACTGTGTTAGGCAGTATTGGAGGACGATGGGTAAGGCATTCGACCTGTCTTCAGATGCACCAGTGTCAGCTAGTCCCTGTGTCAAGCGGATGATATAGTGATAGATGCCCTGGGTACAGACAAGTTCCCACAGGGGAGGTAGCACGAGATCTGATCCTTCACCAGGGAGGATAAAATTTGGGAGAAAGTCTTCAGGGAGTACTCATTCAGGCTCCTCGTTCAAAGGCAGGGTGGTGGGGATCTGAAGACTGGGTCTAGGGAACTGGTCAGGTATGTCAAGCTGGTACTGAGAACCTCTCGGAGCCAGGGGGGAGGGGCTTGGGTAAGGTAGAGTGGGCAAGAGCATGAAAGGCCAAAGTGCTTGGTTGTTGCCCTGTGGTTAGATCTGTGACATGGAATGGTTTTTAAGAGAGGAATTGGAGAAGGCAAGACCCACCAGACACACAAACCAGGGCTTGGGAGGGGCCAGGCCCCTGGCACTGTGCCCCAGAAGCTGGTAGTGTTCCCCTGGGCCAGGGGTCTCCAGGTCTGGCATAAGAGCTTGGCCAGGACAGGCTCCCTTGCCAATATTCAAGGAATGTGGCTATCTGGGTAGGGCCTCCCACTTTCACATGCTCCAGCCCCACCTTCCCTAGGCTTGGACGCCTCCGGGAAGGCTTCCAGGCTGTTCTGGGTGCTGGTACTCTTTCCACTCGGCGCCCCTGGAGTTGTTCGGCCTGCTTTTGTGTTTCCTGACTGCCAGCTCCTTTGGGAGCTCGCAGGCCAGGCCCAGGCACCTCCCATTCCTGCCTCCAGGCTGGGTGGGGGAGGAGTGCAGTGGATGGGGACTTCCCTTCTCTCTCAGGGGCTGGGACTGGAGCTGCTCTGTCCCAGACATTGGAGCAGAGTAGTTCTTATCTTACAGGATGAGGTCGGGCTGAACTGGTGTGCCCCTATATGCCCCGAAGATCTCAGGTGGGATGGCGACTGGACGGGAGAGACTGGGCTGAGCGACTTGCAGGAAGGTCTTGATACAGCCCCAAATGAGTGTTGGATTTGTGTCTAGGGGGCTCCCCCTGCCTTCCTCCGCCCAGTCTACTCCAGCAGGGCTCCCTCCTCCTTCTTTGTCCTATGGGGATCCCCAGCCCCAGGGGCTGGTGGGGGTGCAGGAGGAGGCGGTGTGAGTCTGGGGCGGAGGGGGGTGTCCTCACCCCCTTTGCTGCACGAGCAGGGAGGGGGGCTGGCAGCTGCCCGCCTCCTGGGCACGAGCCCGTGCCAGCCGCTCCTGGCACAGTTGCTGGCACGCCCGGCAGACTCCCACGGCCACCTGCTCACACCCACCCACGAGCGCTGGCGCGCTGCGGGCCCTTCCGGCTTCCCGGGCCTCCCGGAGCCCCTCCCCCGCCGCTGTGTTCCAGCACCCCCACCCCCAATCCTCAGCTCCAGGAGGACCCCCTAGCTCCCACTGCCTTTGAGGCCCTGGCCCCCTCCCCCTCCCCAATTTGGGGAGTCCTGGAGGCGGGCCCGATGGGAGGCCCCTGGGGTAGTTGTGCCTCGAGGGAAAGGCTTGGGAGGGGGGGGACAGGCAGACAGACAGACCGACAGACAGGGTGAGGGCCCCGCCTGCCACCTGGCGCCGCTCCAGCGGGACGATGGCGGGCAGCGCCGTGCCAGGCGGTAATTGCAGACAGACTAAAGAGATGAGACGGTTATTTTTAACTCGCGTTAAGGTAATGAACGGCGCGGGGGGTTTGCGGGTTCGAAAGTTCAGCTTTCTCCCAGCCCCCACTTTCTATGTGTCGGGGACCCCCTTTCTGCAAGTCCTGAAGGCTTCAGCCCCAAGACTGACTAGAGCAGAGAGGCCAGGTTGAGGAGCACAGAAGGCACCCTGACTGACGAGGGTGGGTCGAATTGAGAGGCTTGGGACCAGGACCAGGCTCCCAGTTCCTGAGTACCCACCGCAAACTAGGTGTACATGCCATGAAATCTCCTCACCGTCCTGCAAGATGGGCGTCCCTGCTTTTTAGATGGGGAACCTGACTTGAGAAAGGAAGTATGCCCTGGGAGTCAGGTACCTAGGACATGACCGACTTGGGAACTGAACTCTGAAGCTCAAAACTGTATGTCATTGGGTGAGGTTGAGGAAGAAAGCTGGAGGCAAGGGCTTGGGTTTGGACACTGAAATTAAAAGGCTAAGGGCTTTCCTTTCCACTCACTTTCCCTTGTCTTAAAGTGGTAGTTGGTGGCAGTAATCTTGTGGGG